CCCAAGATCCTGCGAGGAGAATGGAGGAGAAGGGATTATGATGTGACCACCCCCTTGAGGGTAATTTCTCCCTTTCTGTCCCTCTGTTTCTGTTTCCAGCAAACACACGCACCCTATAGCAAAAATCTCTCTCTTACAAAACAAAACAAAAACACTTCTCTTCTGAGATCCCTTTCATTCTGTACAATACACAGTGATGCTACCTCTTTGAGTGAAGGCCTACCACAGCAGGAAGAAGTGTCCCTTTGCCAAGCTCATCTGAGATAAGGCTCAGCCCTCTTGCTAGGTCTTCATGTATTCATGTACTACAATCCCAGAAGTTGACCTTCTACAGTTTTTATTTGTTCTATGAGAGAGACACAGACACCCCCGACAGAGTCCTCATGCTGTGACCCACCCAGTCTCAGCCAGTCCAGGTCATGGGCATGATGCACACACCCAGCATGCTCAGGGAAGTCCCAGGGTTAGAGCTCAGGACCTTTCTCATGTGGGTCCAGTTATGTGATTACTGCATCCTCTGGCCCTGACTTTGGATTTTGAACACATTTTCCTGAAGAAGTGTGTGTCCGAGGATTAGTAACTCATAGGTTCACTAGGCTTTTCAGGACCTGAGTACCATGTATAAAATTGACTCTCCAAAAAAGTATTATCTGAGCCCTACTCCTTTATTATTTTTTAAATAGCTAATTCACCCATGATCCCCAAATCCAAATCCATAAAAAGTTATATAGTAAAAAGCTTCTTTTCCATCCCAACCTCCCTTCCATCCACTCCCCATCTTTGTGGGAAGTCACCATGACTGATTTCTTGTGTGTGCTTCCAGAAGCATTTTATAAGTAACTAGCCAATACAAACATATTTATACACATCCACATGTATCTTTTGGTCCCTGGAGGGTGTTCCTCTTTGGGCTCTTTCCTCATGAGCATATTAAAAGCTTTTTCATCCTCCTTCAGAGCTGACCAGTTCTCACTGTATGGTTGCACCTTAGTTTATTTTGACTGTCTTTTGTTTCCAGCTCTGGGCCGTGTCGATGTGAACATTCTTGGTATGTTATTATGTGACCTGGATAAATCCCTATGAGGAGACTCTGGGCTTAAAGGACATGATTGACAGTTTTCATAGTCTTTGCCAAACCACCCTCCATTGAGGGTGGACCTGTTTGTGCCTCCACCGTTGCTGTACATGAGGCCCATTCCCCCCATCAGCCCAGGGCACTGTCATACCTTTGTGTATTCAACGGGCTTTGGAATACACCCGTAATTTAGGAGCTGACCAAATTCCCCTGGGGCATGCTCATTAAATGTCATATCAAGACCTCAAACTCTAGAACCTGGTAGCCACGTAGTGTTGGCAGAGTGACTGAACATCTGGGCATCAGTAGTTAGTGTCTCTTGTGTAAAATGGGGATATTAACAGAAGCCACCACACAGGTTCTTGCAACTCAGCTAGTACATGTGAAAGGCCTGAACAGTGCCCAGCTACCAAGTCAGGATTTGAACTGTAGTCAACCATGTGAGAGTCCAGTGATATAACCATAACAAGCTCCTAATAAACATTTGCTGTTGTATTGAGCATTGCTGGTTCCTAGGACAGGCATGTTCCCTCTCCAGATTTCCCCTTTTTACCAGGGAAAGTGAAAGAGCCACCTTATTAGTTTTCTGCATAAGCAGTGGCAGAGATATTGAAAGAGCAGTCAGCCCGCAAAGGGAAAGGGAAACACTGATGCGGCTACATGAACGTGTAGTGGTTGATAGGTCGGGAGTCCAGAATACTCAGAAAGGAGCGGAGGAAGTGGGCAGTGTAAGACCTCCTAGTTCTGGGTTGCCTTTCCTGGAGTCAAGCCTGGTTGCCCTTGAACTGGAGGAGGAAGATAACAGATAAGATAGAGGACGGAGGCACAGGGCCAGGTGCTTCCCAGAACCACAAACATCATCTCGGGTTGTAAAACATATTTTTACCCCTATTTTTTTGTTGTTGTTGCTGTTAGAATTTATTTGGGAGCTCTTGTCCAGCAGAAATTCAATACAAATGATTATTCTTGAGGTCCTAGAATCCTCCACCCCATCTTACAATCAATACTATGTAGGTTTTGTAGAAAAAGAAAAATGCCTTTGAAGGCACCTTCTTTCCTTCCTATGCTCTAGAGCCTCCCTGGCTGCAGCTTGCCTTGACTCCTTACCAATCCTTTTCTTACCTTTTTAGCTTTTGCCACTTTCCTCCAACCTTTATCTTCATGTCAGTGACAAAAACCCAACCTCTACTAGGCTGAGTGAGCTCGTGGCTAGAAGCCAGGGTGCCAGTGCCCACAGGTGGGCAGGGACCAATGGAAGGGCTGGGTTTGGCCAGCGCCTTGCCCCCTGTCAGCTGCTCACCAGGAGGCCTGAGGACAGGGCACCCCTCCCCTGCACCTCAGAGAGCAGCAAGCATTTCCTCCCTGTTTTTTCCTTTCCTGTGCCAGATTGTTGTTCAGTTTATGGGTAGATGTGAGTGATCTATTCAGAGGAGCAGAGAGCCACTCTCTGGCTACATCTTTGTAGAATTGTTTTCTTCTTCTTTGGAATACTCCACCCTAGGTCCTGACCTTGCATAACCCTGGCTTCACCAGCTGACCAGTTCCCTGGCATGCCCCTGCTCTGCGGTGAACACACCGTATCTTTCCATGACAGCTGCCCTCCTGGCCATACATGCTGAGCTCACCACTCCAGTGGGCAACTGTTCCTCGGCTGCCACCCACCTGCTGCTGCAGGCAGGCAACCACACTGTGCCCAGAAAGGCAGGAAGGCTGTCTCTGGGTGGCAGGGGCCCTGCACTGGGACTGTGTCATGCTCTCATATGGAAAGGAAGTTCTGATGCTGTAACAGGAAGTCCTGGGGTTTACACTTTTGTTACTATGTCAAAACCCAGATTAGAGCCAAAATGAGAGAATATCAGGATCAATTGTCACATTTGACAGATTCGTGACACTCATGAGGAGAAGGTCAAAGTTGACCTCATGCTGCCTTGACCTCTTCCCCACACCAAGGCTGGAGGAGGGTTGGCTCTCTTCATCTCTTTGTTGTCTACCTCTTCAGACATGAGTTTCTGGACAATCGGCTGTATGCCCAGCAAAGCTAGTTGTCACCATGCCAATGGAGGGCAGAGCATGGTTCTTGTCACCTGCCACTGGCAAATGCGTTTAAAACTCTTGTTAAAGGAAAGAAATACAAGCAGATGCAGAGGGCTTCCAGCTGCTATGAAGCAAATGTGGCTGTCTCCAAGCCACCATCTGCCAACCCTGGGAGGGTTTATTTGGAGGCTCTGTGGCCAGAGAGAGGAGAGCCCAATGGGAGAGGTCACAGCAGAGCTGTCTATGGAGTTCCCACCATGGGGAAGTTTTAGCTTCTCCATGTCAGCTGAGTTTCTTATCAATCAGATGAGGATCTAATATCCCCATAGCCTTCTAGGTCTTCACTTCTGATCTTGTCATATAGTTTGTACAGGCAGGATGTGTTAGCTTTCTGTGCAGTAACAAATTATCACAAACTGAGTGGCTATAACACCCACTCGTTATCGCACAGCTTCTGTGGGTCAGGAACCTGAGCAGGGCTTAGTTCTAGGGATATGCTGGTCTATGATCTAGGCATGGGCCAGGGCTCTGGACTCATCAGAGGCTCAACTGGGGTAAGACTACCCTCTGAGGTCCTTGCATTGCTAGCCAAATTCGTGTCCTCGGGGCCTCTCCTAGCATAAAAGTTTGCCTTGTCAAAGCCAGCAAAGAGAATCTCTCCCTCCTTGGTTCAGATGGAATTGCCTGTAAAGTGAGCTAGTCAGGGAGTGACTTGTCACCTTGACTATGTTCTTTTGGTTAATACAAGTCACAGCTTCCACCCACTGAAGCTTTAACACTAGAAGACAAACCATGGGGCTTACCTTAGAATTTTACCAACCCCACAGAGAGGATACAGCCTTATCTGCAGTGATTCAAAAGTGAAAGTCCAGCCGATTGTATATGATCTCAAGTTTTTTCCTTTTTTTCTTTGAGAGCAGCAGCTTTGTTCTTTTCTTTTCATTTCAGATTACCTCCAACTCCTGAAACCCTCTCTAACCCCCATAGTCTATGTCACAACTTGCTTCCAACTCTAACTCATCTGTTTGCTGGTTGTCTTATGGAGATAGGGTAATTATTTTTTTCTTTTTGAGTCCTGAATTTCAATTTCCTCATCTTTAAGAATACATTTACAAAGATTTTGTAGACAGTAGCATATATAGCCACTGCTACTTAATAAATTATATTTCTACCTCCTTTCTGTATAAAACTATTCATTTTATTGCATCAATTTTATTTATATACAGAATTCAACAAAATATCATCCTTACTAATGTGCACACAAAAGTAAAAGAGAAAATATAGTGTATCCAAGGAGCTGAAATTACTGTGGTCATATGCTGACAGCAGTTCTTAGGATAGAGGGAAGGGACTAAAATCTTAGACATGTCCAGAAAATTGTGCCCATGGCCATGTTTTAAAACTGCTGATATTGGGACCAGCAGTTGATGTAATGGCTACGTTGCTGGACTCCCATGTAGTCAATGTGGTTCGAGTCCTGGACCTGGTAGATTAAACTCACGCTGGGCATGTGTGCATGCGTGCGTGCCCAAGATCTCGAGAGGAGAATGGAGAAGAAGGGATTGTGGCGTGGCCATCCCCCTGGGGGGGTGATTTCTCGCTTTCTATCTTTCTCTGTCTTTCTGGCGAGCGCACACGCCCTATAGCAATAACCTCTCCCCCCAAAAAACAAAAGTGCTGACATCCTAGTTTTAAGGTTTTTAAGTCTCTTTTTCTCTCCTTTTTTCATTTTGCCCCTGAAGTGTGACTAAGATTAGTGAACCCCTCAAGATCAAAGTTCTTATCCTGCTTGGGGGGGTGGGCACTAAGATCAAGTTCAATTCTGCCATTATTTACAGGCTTGGAACCTTGAGGGGCAGCAGATGATAACCTGCTTTGGTTTCCTCTCTAGGGTTTTTACTGCTGCAGAAGGGATTGGAATGATGTGAGCAGCTCTCCAAGAAGTTCCACTTGACCATAACCTCCAAAAGGTCTTTTAAAGCCCATCTCATTTCAGTGTGACCTCTCTTGCCACTTGAGAAGATGATGTGACAGTTCCCACCAAGGATTTTTCAGAAACTTAAAATATCCGTGAAGAAAGTGGCCCTTTCCCCCTTTGACAAAATAGACATTCTCCAGTTCCAAAATGCCAGCCAAGACCCCAATTTACCTGAAAGCTGCCAATAACAAGAAAGGAAAGAAATTTAAACTGAGGGACATCTTGTCTCCGGATATGATAAGCCCTCCCCTCGGAGACTTTCGCCACACCATTCACATCGGCAAAGAGGGCCAACATGATGTCTTCGGAGATATCTCCTTCCTTCAAGGGAATTATGAGCTCTTGCCTGGAAACCAGGAGAAAGTACGTGCTGGCCAGTTCCCTGGGCATGAATTCTTTCGAGCCAACAGCACCTCAGACTCTATGTTCACAGAAACGCCCTCCCCGGTGCTCAAAAATGCCATCTCCCTCCCAACCATTGGAGGCTCCCAAGCACTCATGCTACCCTTATTGTCACCGGTGACATTTAATTCCAAACAGGAATCATTCGGGCCAGCCAAGATGCCCAGGCTTAGCTGTGAGCCCGTCATGGAGGAAAAAGCTCAGGAGAAAAGCGGTCGATTGGAGAATAGGACGATCCACCAGGGAGACACCTCGTGGGGCTCCAGTGGATCTGCCTCTCAGTCCAGCCAGGGTAGGGACAGCCACTCCTCCAGCCTGTCCGAACAGTACCCCGAGTGGCCAGCCGAGGACATGTTTGACCACCCTGCCCCCTGCCAGCTCATGGAGGGAAAAACTAAATCCGAGGAGTCCCTCTCCGACCTCACGGGTTCCCTCCTCTCCCTACAGCTCGACCTTGGGCCCTCACTTTTGGATGAGGTGCTAAATGTCATGGATAAAAATAAGTAACACGATGCCAGCTCTTGGGGGTAAAAGGTACCAAAACCAATACATAACAAAAACAGACTAAGTGAACCATCATCGAAGAGAAGAGCATTTCTGTCTGTACTTGGAGTTGTGTAGTGGGTTTTCTAAAATAACGTTCCTACAAAGTATTTTTTTACCTGTTATGCCCTGTTTGCAAAAACGATTTAGGGGGAAAAAAAATGAAAAATTCCTGACCTGGCAAAAGAGGAAGTGAGTCCGTCAGCCTGTTTTCAGCAGGCATTGCCAGTGTTCAGTTCACAATTTTTGTTTGCAGACATGTAAGAAATCTGGCTTGGTCAGGATTGACTCTAGCTAGGAAGGACTGCATAAGTCTTATTAAGGAAATTTACAGTACTCTGGCATTTCCTGGGCAAGAGGACATCAACATTTATTTAACACCTAAGCCTTTTTTCTAGACTCTTTTCTATATTATATTGTTTGGGCTCACCATCGCAAATTCTCCAGTGTTAAGACTTTTCTCTGTTTTCACAGTTGAACAACTTTGTATGGGTTTGGGGATTTTCTTGTAGTTCTTATATATCCCTATATATTGTATCTTTATCACTGAATTTTGACCGTCAGCTGTCAGCTACATGTTGGTAAGACACAAGCAAAGTATTACTGTAACTAAGTTATTTTTAAAGTTAAAATATATTTTTATGTGCCTTTGGCATTTGATTGCAGAGTCTACATTTTATAGATAATACATCACATGTCATTTGACTTGTTTTCATTGGGTTTCATTGTAAGCTGTGTACATGTGTGCTTGGAAAAGTGTATTCTTAATTAGCTCTATTATTTTTTCTTTATCTGTTATCATATTCTAACAGCAGCCAACAAAGGATTGTAAAGTGTAAAGGCGCAGGTTATTCATGATGCTTCTGCAGAGACTGTGGGCTACACCACATAATGTTATTTGAAAATATGGGTATTTTAGTGCAGTACATACTTGCGTTACATAGGTACTTCATGCAACACAATAAAGAGTAAATGTTAAAACAATCCTGCTCGTGTATAGTAATAAACAAGAACATAGGGAATGATATTTTCTTCAAGTCTAGCTAGAAAACAATGCTTCTCTAAAACGTACATGAGCCTTTAAGGTAAGAGATGATTTCTATCAACTCTATAATTTCGATTACTTCCTTAAAGTTGGAGGTTTTAGAAACAGAGCCCCTCAACTTTAGGAGAATTGAACATGTGAGATCAGAAATTATTTTTTATGTCACCCGCCTCTCTATGCCCTTCTCTGGGTACCTCTTCCTGTATTTTAACACCCTCTACAGCAAACTCTGTAAGCCCAGTCTCAGCCCTACAGGACAAATATTTGTCCATGCAGCAGGTGCCATATTGACGAGATTAAGAAGCCTAAAAAGAGAGCAAGTCCCTCTCACCAAGGAGCCAGAAATGTCCTGAGGATGTTTGTTAAGAAATCAGGAACAGGAAATGTATGCACCAATTCCTGTCCTTTTGTCAACCACTCCTTCCCCTCAAAGAAAAACACTTGCACACAATAACTGCCAGCTTTCTCAAACATCTGTTTCTTTGAAATATACCCCTGAAATGACCTCCTCCCAACCATTTCAGTGATTTGGAGTTGTTGCAATTCTACATTCTGACCATCTGAGATCACCTCTGAACTACAGGTGAGATACACTCAAGGCAGCATCTGAGTAGACAAGACACATTCCCTGGGAGCATGGAATGTGTCTCTCCATGTCCCAGCTGCATTTCCTTGTCCCACAGCGTTCCAGTGTTCTGTTCCTGCTATGTCACACCCATTCACAGTCCACTTCCAGAGACTTCCCAGTCTCTTCTAAATCTTGTTAATGAGGGCAAACCCAGTATCTCATAATCTGTAAGCAGTTTCAGCTACACTCTGTCAACACTTCCTTCCATCTTTATCATTATTGATCATGTTTGATCTCTCATTTTACTCCTCATCTGTCTCATGGTCTCAAGGGAAAGATTTGGTATTAGATGAACTGAGGAGTGAGAGTGTGAATATTTTCTCTGCTGTAGGAGAACATCTCTGCCTGTGATGGGTTGGTTTAATATAGTCTAAGTAATCAGGAAGCTTTCCCCCGTGTTTAATAATTTTCCTCTCTTTGTCACATATTCTGCCCCATTAGGTTAGGTATAATTGAAGTGGTAACAGACATGTCCCTGTGAGAAAGAGGAAACAAAACCACATCCAATTGATAAACGATTTTGTTGAGTCTGCCCTCCTAATGTCTGGTCTCTTCTCCAGGGAGCAGGTGCATAGCTGGAGGTGGCTTTTACCCTGTGAAGAGAGACTTCAGATGCACACCCTGAGAGCTGAATTAAGGTTCACAGCCAGTGAACATTCTCCCACTTCTAACCTAATTTATCTTTACTGTTTAAAGATAAATCCAAGATGCATTTCATTTGCAAACTCAAAAAGAATAGCAAGCCACCTGTGACCCAACAATCAGAAAAGTAACAAAGTAATTTGTATAAATAGAGACCCTTTTTGTTGAGGTAGGCAAGGTTCTTGTGGATGATCTTTTCCCTCGACAGTGAGACCTGACAAAGGACAAACTATATTACTTTTGCCTAAAATTATCTACTTAAAAAGATCAAAATATGGGAGTACTTAGCTCTTCACAAATATGAAGTCACTAATTACTATGTTTCAGTGAGCCAAAAATCACTGTCAATGAGCATGAACAGAAGACTAAATGGGTTAAATAGAAAGGAAAACCTGGCTCTCCAGAATCAATCTAGCCCTTTCTTATACTACTGCAAGCTACTTTATTATTATTATTATTATTATTATTGTTAACTTGCTATGGGGCATCTGTACTCAATGGAAAGAGAGAAAAAGTAAGAAAACATTCCCCCACAGGGATGGCCATGCATCAGTCCCTTCATTCTCCCCTTGGATTTTGGGCACGCACACACACACACACACACACACACACACACACTGTGTTTTTCAAGCTATCAGGTCCAGGCCTCAAACATTGCAGTCAGTCATGTGAGATCCAGCCACCTTAACCAACGTACAACCTGGCTGGCCCAAAGTTTTCTTTCTTTTTTTTTTTTTTTTTTTTTTTTTTGATCTAGGTTCTCCACAAACACTTGAAGTCATAGAATGAAAAATGATAATACTATGAATATTTTAGAACAGACAGGAAATGTATACATTTAGGTGTTGGTTCTTATCTTCCTCCTAATATGGAACCTGATGAGACTAGATCATTTTACTGTGATATATATACATACAATAGAACAAGCCAACTTGATGATCTCTCTCTAATATAAGAGTTTATCATTCAGAAGTTATGTTAACCTAGTCCCTAATTTAGAAGTCCTAATAACAATTCTCAGATTTTATGATTAGCAACTGATTTTTTTCCCCGAGACAACTCAATAAGCTATATAAATAGATAATGGGTGTTGCCTTATTTCCTTACCCACATGTTTGGATCAGATCCAGTATAATGTTTTTAGGTCCCAAATGATAACCTTGACCTGGATGGGTAGCCTTCTGGTTTGGCTGTATGAGATTCAAGAAAGTCATACTACTCTAAACTCTTCACATGTATTATTGGTACTGGCTATAGAATATATATTTTAAAGAAAAAGATGGTCTTGGTTACAAAACCTCCTAGCTGAGGGAGCCAGATCCTGACCATGGTTTGAATCTTGATCCTGGCAGCTTGAAAAACACACCAGGCATGGGTGGGTGTGTGATCCAAATCTCAACAGGATGGAGAAATGGAGGAGAAGGGATTGTGGCATAACCATGCCGCATTGGGGGAATGCTTTCTCTCTGTCAGTCTCCCTCTTCCTCCCTCTGGCAAGCACATACACCCTCTAGCAATTAAAGAGAAAAAAAATAAGAGGTGTTGTTTGGTGTTTAGTGGATTTATTGACACATGCTTCATGTGATTATACCTAGACTATGTCACGGAATGCTTTATTATGATTGATGGTACACCATTTTATCCAGCAAGCTTTTCATCTGAAAATGTTTCATTTCACCTTATTCTTAGCTCCAGTAGGTCTAAATATTTCTTACTTGAGTTGCCAGGGAGTCATTATTCTGTGGTAAAATGCTACAAAGAACGTCACATGGAAGAATGGGAACTATGCTTATTTTACGAAGTGATGTATAACACAATGAAATCTGTTTTACAACTACTGTGCTGCATTTAATTATCTTCCATTTTTACTTTTAAAAATCCTGTAGTGATCTCATTTTCATTGGCTTCCAAGGGAGGTCAGTAATCTCCATCCTTTGAAGGTCAGCCAAATTTCCTTCAGAGAAAGCAGATTGACATAGATGACAGATAGAAACATCTGTCTAAATCAAAGCCATCATGCAAAATAGAGTTGATATTCCAGAGACTTCTCATGTGGAGTTGTCTGCCATACATCAAAATTAGCAAAGCTGAGTAAGTGATGTGGTAGTTATGTTCACCATAAAATAATTATTGGGGTATGTCAAAGAATATGCATGAGTCATTGCCAAAAGGGTCACTGGGGAAAAAAAGAAGTCTGAGTTATGGGGAGGAAGAGACATCAGGCAGCCTCCTAGAAGAAAAGGACACAAGGGGGACCTTGAACTGATGACAATTTTAAAGGAGAGATAGCATTCATGGGAGGAAGAAGAAGATGAACAAACAAGGATGTACCTCCATTCTAATAGGATTTCTACTCATAATATAGGGATTAAACTTTAAGATGTTCACTCCCAGGCCTGAAGAATTGGACCCACTTATAAAGAGACTCTCCCAGTGGAAAAAGACAAGACTCGGGAATCAGACTGCTGAATGGGTGGTTTCCAGGGTTAAATATTTATATAAAATTAGCCACCATCTTGTGAAAGCTTATGACCAGTCCTGGTACCATCCTGGGACCTAAAATCTGAAGTAGGGATGCTTCAATAATGAGGTTAGAGGCCAGGCAGTGGCACAGTGGTGGCACAAGTACTCCCAGATGGGAAAGGTCTTGGATTGGCGTCCTGGTGCCTCCCTGAGCATGGCAGGTACAAGTGCCCATGATCTGGGTCAGCTGAAACCAAGAATGGATCATAGTATGGGGAAGCCTGTTTGTGTCTTTCTGTCTTTCTCTCATAGAAGAAATGGACTTTCATTTTTCAAAAGGCTGACTTGAGATGTTTGGGGAAAGTCATTTATGATGAAGGATGTGAGAGATCTAAGCATCTCCTGAATCGGCACCAGAGGAAACAAGTTTATTGTACTCCCTGGACTGGACACATGTGGCAGCTTGTCTCACTAGTGGCACACCCAGGAACTTCCTCATACTCCTCAACCCATTTTTTCACCCATTTTTTTTTTCTGCCTATTTCACAAAGAAGGCAGACTTTGGGGTATAAGGATAAAATCCTTTAAGTTTTAATGCACATTTGTGATGTGTCCTAAAAAAATTTTCCACAGAAGCGGTACTTCAAAGGGCATTTTTGTTGGGATTTTCAAGACTCAAATGTAATGGAAGGACCTTTTTGCTATTTTCTGTGGGTTATAATCTGCCTGCCATGCATCATACCCTTAAATAAGGGAGAAAGCTCCTCAGGAAAGACAAAGGACAACCCTAATGAAGAGTCTCCACTGAGAATTCCCTTTTATTGGTCCCTAGAGCCATGGTCAAGGGCTCTTGCTTTGGAGTAGGAACACCAACTCAGTGGAGTTGAAGAAAGCCCCTGAAGTTCTCTCAAACTCTTTGAGGTCCAGACTCAGAACACTGAGGCCCAGAGAGAGGTAGAAGTCCCAAAATACCAGACTGGTTTTCAGTCTGAGGATCTGTCTCTTTCCGGGGGTGATTTCTGGCCTGCCTACCACTCAGGAAAGACCACGTTCACTTCCAAAGTTAGCCTTACTCTCCAGTGCACACCAGGAAAATGGTTATCTCAACATAGCAATGGACCCCAACATTTATACCACAAATACCCACAGAAAATAGCAAAAAGTTCCTTCCATTACATTTGGGTCTTGAAAACCCCAACAAAAACG